TATACAACCACAACATAAACCCGTGGGGTGAAAAAACCGGCACCAAGGGATAAATTTATCATCAGTATGCTGATGATACTCAACTATATATCTCCATCCCAGGTGACCTAAGTGATGCTGAGGCACCACACAAAATAGGGGCTGCAGGCTGGACCTCTCGCTCCCTATCAACACCGATTAGTATTGGCCTTGGAGGAAAGAGCTGAACCAGCACAAAACTATGTCGCCCAGCCCCAGCTCCCGCAGCCGACCCAATAGGATGCCATGGTCGATGGTATCAAAAACCACCAAGAGGTCAAGAAGAGCAAGGATGGACGCACTACCCCCATCCCACTTTTGCCAGAGATCATGTAAAAGTACAACCAGTGCTGTTCCTGTCCCATAACCGGACCTGAAACCTGACTGAAAGGGATCCAGATAATTCGTTTCCTCCAGGGTACTCTGAAGCTGTCGCACAACCACCTTTTCAACAACTTTACCTAAAAAGGGAAGGTGGGAAACTGGACAAAAATTGTTCAAAAGGATGGGATCTAGCAACAGCTTGAGGAGGGGCAGACCATTCTTTAAAAGAATGAGTATCCTTCTGTGATGCATGACATTCTGTTACTGTACATGTTCCTTCATTTTCCCAGTTATTATAGAATCAATCTTTTATTTATCAGGAACCTGTTTCTTAATGCATTGGATCATCAGTTCTTTAGGCCAAGGAACACTATTCTGTCAAAATTATTCCATGTCTGTCTCATAAATGTAGCAAGATGGATTCTCCTCTAATTCTTGGCTCCACGTGTTGTATTTCCTCAACAGATAACTATCCAAAGGGACAGTGGTTTGGACGTCAGCTCTCCTAAACATGGGAAGATAGATCTAGACAATGCCCCTCATGTTGGAGGAAACACTTGGGCTGGTGGGACAGGTACAAAATAATTTTTTGCTCCTGTGCGTGTAGCTTCAACTTAATTCTTTGATGTAAAAAACAAAGTGGGTATAGCAGAGTCTACTGAGAATCAAGTCTCCAGTAATTTCCTTGCTATGAAAGATGCTCTTCCAGTGGTACCCACAGGAACTGATGATTTGTCAAAATGACAGAAGCATTATTGTCATACAGACTCCACCTCTTTTGGGTGCATATGCTCCATTCCATATAAAAGGAGCGGAGCTGGTGTCATGATGTTGCAACCCTGTTTTCATCATTTGTCCCATCTTCTCTCTTCTGTGCTCTTGTTTGGGCTCTCTTCCTCTTGAAATGATTATGAAAAAAGAACTATAAATTTCTCTCCTTTCTTCTCCTTCACATCTATGATAGTTGTAAATATTATATATTTCTTTTGAATACCGACATCACTTTCTGTGCATGCATACAGTACGTACTGTATTTCTGTTTGGAACTTCCTTTTTCCCTAGATGCAGTTAAAGTTAGTAAGATTAATTGATCAAGAATCACTTCCTAATTCACATTAAAAGGCAGTCATACTATTCATTTTCCATACTGCTTTCAGTGTCCTTTATTTGCCATTGTAATCATGATCATTTCAAAGGAACTTCCCTTCATAATAAGGGTAGATGATTTAGAGATGATTTTGTGGAATGCGTAACAAATATCGTTCCCAGCAATCCAAGGATTGTGACCCAAGTGGAGATTTGGATGTCTATTACTTAACCAGGTGAAAATTGATACAGAAGAAAATGTCATAGGGTACATCTCCACCCATCTGGTGCCTTCCAAACATTTGAGAACTCCAGAATTCCCAGGCATCATGGCAACTGGAGAAAGCTATCCAGTGCACCTTTACTTGGTTAAAATGTTTGTCGGTTGCTGATTACGTGGTCCTATAAAGTTAAGATACCTTAAAGAGGTCAAAATATATCTACCTCTGGAGCAAATTTGTCTTAGAAGGAAAGTTTACATGGATCCAAATAACTCAATCAAACCATTTTCCAAAGATAATTCTCAACTGAGCAGGGTGCTGGAAATAGACACACATGTATTTTAGAAAGGTTGTTTTGCCTACCTGGACTTTTGCTTCAAAATTACAGACAAAAGAACTGAAACCTTCTGGCACAAAGTGAGCTTTTATTATATAGATTAAATGTATAAGGGTTTTTTAATAGTATGTTTTTTAATCTTGAATTAAAAGTTTCAAGGTTAATCTTTTAATTCAAGATTAAAAGATAAACTCTATATTTCTATCGAATATGATTTTTCCTAATACATGTGGGTATTTGTGTATATGTGCATAGAAAGGTAGGTAAATAAGTAATTAAATCCTTTAAAATTAAAATTTAAATTTTAAAAAATTTAAATTTAAATTTAAAAGGTAGGTAAATAAGTAGTTAAATCCTTTAAAATTCAGGTAGTGTTGTGCACACTAGATGGCAGCAAAGAGATATAGAAAACATTGACCCTTTGCTGCCACCCAGTGGTCATTCAGAATTTGCAGCCCTGATAGTATGCTAACGAAATAATAAAATGGCTATATACTCCTGGTCAAAAGTATTGTTCTGAATTCTTTTCCAGGTGGGAGAGACACTGCTGGCTTGGGAGGCAAAGGGGGTCCCTACAGACTGGATGCTGGTCACCAGGTGTACCAGATATCTCAAGCTGAGAAAGATGCTGTACCCGAAGAGGTGAAAAAAGCCGCCAGAGAAATGGGTGAAAAAGCTTTTAAGCAGAGGTTAGTGTCCACTTTTCTCTATTTAATTTTTGCTTGCATTCCCCTTCCTTTAGTGAGTCCAGGATTTGGATAAAATACTGTATATGTCGCACCCAAGAATGTAAGTCTTAAGGCAGATTTGATGCTGATGGTGATGCTGATGCTGACCAGGTAGTCCAAGGGCTTTCATTCTTCTTCTCTTCCCCTTGGAGGTGGGAGTTGGTTGCACTCCTAGTGCAACCCAGTTTATGCATATAGGGGAGTGTGGCCAATTGTAAGATAGAAGAAAAAAGCCTGCGAATGAACTTGAGGTCACAAGAAGCAATGGAACAAGTCCGTTTTGGTGCCTGAAGCGCCAGGTAACGTGACACCAGCAGGGTCTGTCTTCTGACGCTTACTAAGCTGGCTGCCTAATCTAATTACAGCGATAGCAGCAGAAGAATGAGTTCCAGTCATGAGGACAGAAGCTCAGGACAAGTCGCTACGGGTGGTATTTCTCCCCCTCTCCCCCTGGTTTCTGCAAAGAATAACAAGGAGAAAAATGGCTAGACCCCTCAAGGACGGGAACTGCACGGAGTTGGGAACTTCAAAGGGAAGAGTAGTGAGAAAAGGAACAAGGAATTTTAAGAAAAACTTTGATCGGGACCTATGTTGGTCTTTGACTGTAATAAAGATTTGATTTGATTCAAATTTGATTGGGAGCAGTAGTACCAATAAGTAATTGTAGTCTCAGGGTAAGTTGGTCCTTCACTGGTTCCTGCTCCACCTCCCGCTTTAGAGACTCATGCAGGGATTTATTCCAAGAAGCAGAGGCAGGGACCCTGACCTGTGCTGAGAAGAGAGGAAAAGAAATCAGACAGTGAGATGCAGTGGCTTGGTTCCTTTCTTGGTGTGTTCCCAAGTCCCAGGGTGTGACATGAATCTGGGGAGGGGAGAAGTCAGGCTAAACTGGGGGAGAAAGGGGAAGAAAAACTTGGGAATAATTCGTGGGAGGGAACATTTCAGGAGATGTATGGGGAGAATTACTTCACCTTGCAGGATGAGGTCTGGGGGTGCCCCATGGGAGACAACTGGGATGCTATTTCCCTAACAAGATACTCTCCAGATGTGTTAGATTACAGTTCCCATCATTTCCCACCAACTAGAAGGCACCAGTTTGGGGAAGGGGGGAGAGAGGGAGAGAGAGAAATGAGGGGCATGTAGGAAATCTTTGACCTGGAGAGTAAGGAATGGGGGGAAGGCTGAAAAACAGGCAGGACGCTATGAGGTCATCTCAGTCACTTGTTTTGTTCCTGATTATGATTCTGTCTCCCCCAGACGTTGAAGGCAGTTTTCAATGCAATGTATGTAGACAATGAGAGTTCTAGTGGCTTGGTAGCATTGGGACCATCTGTCCCTCAAGAGCTGTTTAGACAAGCTTCTTTCCATTAGCAATGGTTAGCTATCTCATTTGCCTTAGTAAAAAGGCAGTCTTGCTGCTGCTGCTGCTGCTGCTGCTGCTGCTGCTGCTGCTGCTGCTGCTGCTGCTACTTCATCTCACTTCCTCAGCTAGGTGAAACCCTTACTACTGCTGCCTTTGACAGTGTATTGCTCCTTTCCTCCACTCCTTTCCTCCCTCTTCCTTTCCTTTGGCTACTTCTCCCAGGCTGGACAATACCCTAGCATCTGCCTGCTAAATGGATCCTCAAAAGCTACTGTCTTCTTCTTCCCTGATATTCCCATAATTTACTCCGTGACTTACTGAGGTACAGCTGGTCAATGGATCCCATTGTCTTATTATGGCTGTACCACCATAAGATTTGCAATAGATGGAGGAAAGACAGAAGAACAACGGCCTCACTGCTTTTCTCTTCTTGAGGATACATTGACATCCATGTGGAAAGCTCAAGTTCTAGGTGTAAAACTTAAGACTAAGAATTTGTTAAGAATAGGAAGATTCTAGCAGAGATGGAACTCTTGTGAGAACATGGACCTTTTGAATTAACAGAACACTGTCAGCTTTAGAACTTATCCACTAAGGGCCATTTTTATATTTGAATGCATGTTGTATACTCTACTTAATATTGCATGTCTTGAATTAAAGTTATTGTCTAGGCTTTGGATAGCTATGTAAAAGAACCTGTTTTCATTCAGTTCCATATTGTCATAATTGCTTCAGATTAAGAGAGATCCAGATGAGTGAATATGATGCAGCAACATATGAAAGATTTTCTGGAGCTGTTCGAAGACAGGTTCAATCACTCCGAATTATTCTAGATAACTTACAGGTAATCATTTTGTTAACTGTTTTTCTCTTCTCCTATCTGCTAGCCCTTGCATAGACAACCTCCCTTATCTGTATTTTAAGAAATAATTTCCTTTCACGTTCTCTGCAGGAGGAAGAGTGCTGCAGAGATCTGTCTGAGTGTTTAATCAACAATCACTTTCTGGGTTCCACTTGAAATTTTCTAACAATTGTTGCCTAACTAAACGGAGTTTGTTATATGCATGATCACGTAATGCAACGTTATGATGAAGAGCTGCAGTTCCCAAAGGATGCTCAAAAACACACAATTGGTGATTACAAGACATGTCATCTTAGAAACCTAGGGCTTTTCAGGGAACCAGCTTATGCTGTGCAGTAATACACATCGACTGTACGGCATTTGATAGTGGCAGGTTTTTAGCAACTCAGAGTTTCCTAACTTTTATTCTGGACTGTTGGGAAGAGATGATGTAAAGGGGCTCAGAACTCTGCCTGTCCATCAGTTCATTAGCAAGCTAAGCCTCCGAAAACAGAGCAGAACAGGAGCAAATTTGGTATGATGGGAGAAGCCAGCAAAAGAAAAGTCTAGTTCGAAAATAGGCTGGATCTAAATGGGGGCTGCAAGAATCAGTTTGGTGCAGTGGTTAAGGCACCAGGCTAGAAACCAGGAGATGGTGAGCTCTAGTCCTGCCTTAGGCATGAAGCCAGCTGGGTGACCTTGGGCCAGTCACACTCTCTCAGCCCTAGGAAGCAAGCAGTGGCAAACCACTTCTGAAATCTTGCCAAGAAAACTGCAGGGACTTGTCCAGGCAGTGACCAGGAGTCAACACAAAAATCTCTAAAAGTCCCTTCTGTCCACCCCTAAGGGTGAGGCTGTGAATCAGAAAGCTGCCAATTCCTCCATTCTGAGTTTTGGTTAATTTCTGATTTTGTTCACAGTGCCATATATGTGCAATTTGCTACTCATACTTCCCTTGATATTCATATCTGCTAGTGTTTATGCCTGTAGATTAAATCTCAACAGCAAAAGGATGTTTATTTATTTACTCAATTTATATCCTGCTCTGTTTCTTGGAGAGTCTAAGCAGCTTACAAAGTATTGATATGATAGCATTAAAAACAAGAATCAATTAATACAGTTATAATTCAGTCAATCTTGACGTACAATGTACAGGTTGATTAGAAAGGATTCCTGATAGGGGTGTAGGTTTCCTTCAAGTTTCCATTTTGCAGAGATTAATTATCATATGGAGTGGCATTCATAAATAATTTATAAACAAAAAATGCTAATTGAAAACTGCAACAAGGTGTATATGTTCCAAATCTACACATTTATTCTAGAATTCTCTAAGTTACATTCAGAGGCAGAGCAGTACTGTAATGTTAGCCGATGAAGTGGAAAGAAACGGGAAATGTGCATATCCATAACATTTACATGCATGTCTGAATTAGATCAAGGCTCACTAGGGACTGAATATGGGAATGTCAGCTATCATCAGCAGAGAGATGAATTAGCATAGTGTATTAGAGTACTGGACATGGATTAAGGAAATCTGGGTCTAAAACCTTGCTATGACAGCCAAGACGTTCATTAGATATCCTTGAAGAAGATGCTGTACTTCAACTGAAGTGTCTCTGGGACAATAGGGTTGATCCTATAGATTTCAACAGTACCAGTCAAAGTAAACAGAGTCACATTCATGAGATGGGCGGCTATATAATATTGACAAATAAATAAACTATACGAATACTGTTCTTAAAACTGTTGTGAGCATTACAGCCTGAACACTAGATTCCAAGTATTGCTAACTAAATTACATGGTGTTGTACAGTGTATCCTATTCAGAGCTCATTGAAAAAATGGATAGTAAAGAAAATATTTTGATAATCACCCAGGACAAGTTTAAACAAATTCAGACACTAGATGCAAGGATGCAATTGTACTCTAGAACTTGCTGCATGTTGTTTTTAAAAGAATTGTTGATTTATATCTCAGTGTGCTGTTGTATTACTGTAACATCATTTGCTCCAGCAGTGATATGCATTGGGTAAGCCTGTAGTTCATCTGTATATGCAGTGTGATGGGTGTTGGATATTAGCAATTACCTTTTTTTAAAATCTAACCTCTACTTTGCAGAGGGTAAAGAATCTGGTGCAAATTCTAAGTAGAATAATACATATCTTTTAGCTTGTAGGTGAAAAAAAAGTTCCATTTTAAATGCTGAAGATCTTCTGCTTGTATTAATAAAACAATTGCAACCCAACCAATGTTCTTCATTGGCCACATGTCAGCTGCAACAAGCTTTTCAGCTTCAATAACACATCTCTTGTTCGAAGGCTTTCTCATGTGATGGTTCAGATGTTGTATTCAACCCCGCCCCCCCAGGAAGACTAGAGTACTCAAGGCGTTGCACAAAGAAGCGTGCAACTAACACTTGGCCGTTGCCATGCCGAGCCTGCTGTATCCGGGCCCGTGTCTGTTCTGAGCCCATCAGCACCCCTTCCTGCATTATCAGCAAAGGACGTACATCCGTCTTCCTTTTGACTAACAAAGGGTTGTTTAAAGTTCAAGGGGAAAGTGCCATAGGCTTGCTTCCTGAGACTGCATTGTCTTCCTAGGAAATGTGCAGCCGAGCTGTTTCACTAAAGAACCAGACATCCCCTGCTGCTTGTAATAGAAAGACAAGGAAAAGGCTAGTCCAGCTTTTGACCTAAACAACTGTTTATTTGATGTCTGGGGTGGGGATGAAATGGTATGGATCCCATTATTCCTTTGCTATCCAGTTGTTGCGGAGACAATATTGTATCTCTTGTGTTGCTGCTTCTTGAGACGGGAAGTTCCTATGTTTCAAACTTCTTCAAACAAAACCAAAGAGAAAAACGAAACATGGATATTAGAACAATATGTCCTCCTAGCTTTCTGATGCACTTGTTTTGATCCTGGGGGGCTGTGTTCCACCCCTGTTATAAGGTGAAGAGCTGAGGCAAATAATCTTTTTTACAGTTATAACTAAGCACCTCAAGAACGCTCACCATAGGCTTTCTTAAGATAAAAAAACTATTCAACCTCTTCTCCTGCATGATTTGCTACTCCCAATTAGACCTCATGTAACCCAGTGGCTAAACTTTTGGACTGTGGTGCTGGAGAAGACTCTTCAGAGTCCCCTCGACTGCTAGGAGGTCAAACCAGTCAATCTTAAAGGAAATC